GGGGGGGGGGAGAGGGGAGGAGGAGAACTGGAAAGGGGCAGATGGCGGGACGGAAGGGGGGGAGGGGAGGGGGTATTGCTGCGCCTGTCTTAAGCAGAGCACAGCAAAGCAAGCCTATCATACCATGAGGCCCGGGGCCTGAAGGGTGCTGATAGCCTCCCGGACCACCACGTGGCACGGGCCCAATCTGACGACCTTGAGATCCTGCGCGCTCATCTCCACTCCCTCCTCGGAAGCTCGGGCCTCCTCGACCCACAGCCCCTCCGACTGCCCCAATTACTGACCGAGGTCCCACGATTGGCGGAGGGGGGCCACATGACTCGTACCGATACCGCTCGCTAGCAGCTGCCATGCTGCATATAATGACAACGAATATCCCGCAAAAAGATGAGAGGGAGAAGAGAGAAGAGAGGGAGAGAGAGAGAGAAAGAGAGAATCGTGCCACTTCGTTACTACTTACGTCTTTTCGTTTTCCCGCTTAATCGCTATTGGTCCGTCACAATTGCATGAGCGTTCGTTGCCCCTATGGACCCGTAGGGGGATAGGTTGCCATTGTTTTGTTTGGGCATTCCAGAGAGGGATGAAGGAAGCAAGTATATAGTCGGGGGTTGGGGGGGAGGAGCGGGAGGAGGGGGAGGGAAAAATAGTTAAGGGATGGATTACCTCGTTTGAGATGAAATCGGACAGTGTAAAATCCACATGCCCCTTTTTGTCGAATACAAACAGTCGTCATTCTTCTTTCCTCTTTCTTTCTCTTCTTTCTTCCTCTTTTCATCTCCTCCTCCTCCTCCTCCTCCTTTTCTTCTTCGTCAGAACTGGTGCGCAGGAGGAGGGAATGCGATAGATTGATCTGACAGGGAGAGGTAAGAAACTCGAAGTCTTCGGTTTTCTTTTTCTGGGGGGGGGCCGAGGAGGCGGGTTTGGGGGTGGGGGGGGAGGCTGAAGGAGGAAGGAGGGGAAGGAAACAGGTATAGATACATGATAAATGCACAAAGGAAAAGGGTTTGGAAAAGGGGGGGAAGAACAAGGAAGCAGGTAGGATAGGGGATTCAACTTGAGAAAAAAATAAGACCGGGGCAAGCAAGCGGGGAAGAAGCGTTTGAAGGAGGGCACTTGAATCTTCATACCAGCAACGATCTCGCCTTTCCGCTCAGAAGAGTTAACCCGTAGCAATCTCCAATGACTACACAAGCGCGGGAAACAGAAACTCCTCTCGGTTGACAAAGCCCTGGAGGCCTTTGAGCTCGTACATCCAGACTGCATCTCCGTCTTTTCTTCCCTCTTCGTCCATCAACTCCCTCTCCCATGGAGTCTACACGAAGGAAGGACGGGCAAATGGGGCCACGTCCGCGTAACAAGAAGGTTGATGACAACGGAAAGTAGGTCTCTAAAATATGTTGAACAGCCAAAACCACGTCGCGTCGACGCGAACAGTGGTGGCCGGCAAATGAGGAAGAGCAAGAACATGAGAGAGAGAGAGAAAGAGAGAAAGAGGCTCTCTACTAAATTTCGGAGACATGACTAATTGAAAAGGCGGCTGGCTGAAAAATTGGCAGAAAAGCTCAAAGAAGGCATATACTGGCTTTTCTTTGGCTGCGTTTGCGTGCACTTCCTCTCCCCATCCCACATTCGTCATGGAAGGACGAAGGGAGGGGGGGGGGCAAAGTAGAGAATCAACTAGATGATGAAATAAAGATCGATGGGAAGGAAAATCTGCGAACGAGATAGGCAATGGTTGAAGGTGTGACAAAGTACGCGGACGCCCTATTACTTATTGGACCAGCGCTGTCTCCGTAAAGGCCGCGCGCGGGCTTGCCGCTTTTCCAGAGATGGCAGCCGTCGGTGGATATGGTAGGTGGTTCCTGAAAATACTTGCCGGCAATTTTTTCCCTTTCCCTCAAGTAGTCGTTCGTACCAACCCTTGATGAAAGAAGAAGCCAGGAGATTGAGAGAGAGAGAGAGAGAACAGAGGACAGGGCAGGCTGGAGAGAGAGAGAGAGAGAGAAGGGAGCAACAGAGAAGCATGTCGAGAGAAAGAGAGAGAGAGAGAGAGAAAGAGAGAGACAAAACGCATAAGACCGATTACAAAACACATGTCAAACGGATTGCCTGCTGATGCAACAAGCAGATTCCACCAATATACAAGCCACACGTCGATCTTCCCCCCTCTTTAATTGAAAAAAAAAATCGACTTTTACCCCCCCCTCCTCTCCCTCCCCCGTTTCCTTTTTGTCCTACTCCTTTTCCTTTCCTCGGGTTAAAACAGACTCTCTTGAAGCAGAAAAAAAACAAAAACAAATAACAATCAATGGCCACCGGCAACAAGAAAATGAAGCACCACCTACCCGCTGCGGGCCCCACTCCCACATTCACATCGCTCCAGGATATCAACAGCTCACAGTCCGGTTCAGAGTTCAGAAACGACAAACGAAACTAGCCTGTCAGAATGCCCCAAAGCTTCTACACTCCAGGCACGTCCAGGCGCAGATCATGTATCTAGCCATCTGCACGTCCAGCGGCATCCTGAAAAGGCTAATTTTGTCCTTTCTTTTCCAAACCCTACCGGCCCGTTCACGCGCTCTATCCACCGTCCACGACAACATTTGATGCCTCTCTCAACATTTCTTTCGTCTTCGTGATTACCCGACCCATCCAAACAAGCTCAAAAACCCCCCAATAGAAATCGGACGCGCATACCGCGCTCGCCCACCCCCCGCCCCCCCTCCCCCCTCGCCCCCGTTCCCCATCATCAGCGCAAAACTCGTTACCGTAGATCGAAATAACGATACGCGCAAAGTGCCAAAGAACAGTTTTCCGTATCAATTCGCGGCCCTCCATCTCTGACAACTGAGTTCATTTCATTTCTTGTGCACAATCAAAAAAAAACAAAAAAAAAACACAGCTCATGTTGGTTCTTGTGCTCAATTAATCAGGTCACTTTGCACTCGGTTTAAAATCAGGCCATCGTTGATTATTGTACTGCGAAAGTAATTAGGTCGTTTGATAATTATGTACTCCATTAATTAGGTCGTTTCGATTCCTGTACTCAATGAATTAGGCCGTTTTGATTCTCGTACTCAATTAATCAGGTCATTAATTTTGATTCTTGTACACAATTAAGCCGTCCTTGCCTTCGTCTTCGTGATTGCACTCAACCAGTCTCCTCAGAACACCTCAAAGCGCATCCTCACACACACACTGGGGCTCTCTCTCTGGACGAACTTGGCCATCTTTGCGATCAGATACGTTCAGCAAGTTCGTCGCATGAGTATGCCCTCATTTTGGGTCTGTTTTCCATTACTTCCCGTCCTCACACACTTCGTCAACGAGCCATTAAAGCAGATCAATCAAGACACAGCGCCCCGTCTGCGGACATAGACAAGCAAGCGAACGAATGACGAGCAGCAGCTAGAAAACTCCTCACCCATCTTCAGTACTCGATTGCCCACACAAGACCCGATAAACGCAAACAAATATCCATCATCGACACCCCACTTCGTCATAGCCGGATTTCCCCAACGGCCCCATCCAATAATCACATCACACTCCGCTTCACGTCGAGAGGAGCCCAACCACTTGAGACCACATCCAATCAACTGTCACATCAAATCAACTGTCACATCCAATCAACTGTCACATCCAATCAACTGTCACATCCAACCAAATGCCACAACCAATCAAATGCCACAACCAATTACAGTAATTCCCCACATCCAGGAGCTTCCGCCCGTCCCGTCCTTTCCCACCTCAGAGAAGACCCTCAAAACAGCAAAACACACCGCATGACCCGAACTGACAAGTGCTTGAAACTTCTCGAACAAGGAGCAGCTCCCAACCGCATATCAACACCCAACCGTATACCCAACACAACCCAAGGGCCGCTCCGATTCCAACAAGCATTGCGGGCTAAGCGCAAAAACTTTTCCAGGACAGGACTACCAACAACGGGAAAAGCTTCCAAGGGCTGACGAGCGGAAAAAGGGATTCCAACCCTCAACCTCCAACAAAACGCCACAAATTACTTATTAACGTCGTTGAGGTCGCTGACGTGAGCGGGCGCTATGATCAGTCATCCCGCCTCTCATACTCGGGGACTGGCCATCGATAATACGAGTATTCGGGACAGTGGCAGGAACAGGGCACCAGCTACGCCCCAAATGCGCGCTCGTTTCTTCACGCTGGGGAGGCGGCATCGTAAGGGCACGAAAGACTACCTTCCGACCGCAATCATCTACCAGTTTGCCCGACTGTGCCCACAACAATCATATTCTCTGTAGTAGGCGAGGACATTGGGAAAAGATCGCAGAAAGCAGTGACCTAGTACTCCTATAGGCCGGAGGAATACCCAGCATCTCCCCCCCCCCCAAGACACACCATTAATCAATCAATCAGTAAATCAATCAATCAATCAATCAATCAATCAGTCGATGAATTGTTGTTATGGATGGGAGGTCAACGAAGGCGGGGACAGATCGTACCTCCTCCCGCTTCCAAGAGTTGAACCGCCGCTCCCAATCCCAGGGCCCCCTGAAAGGTTTCCACCCCCCATCCCCCCGCCAAGGTCACCGCGACCGTCGTCCGTAAGTCCCCGCGAGCCTGCCCCGTCCCCCCCTCCTCTCGAATCCCCCCGAGAGCTGCCGTCTCCTCCCCTTCGACTGCTCCCTCCCCCTCCTCCCTCGTAATCTTCATCTCTCCTGGAACGCTTGTACACTGGCGACCGCCTTCTATCTCTCTCGCGATCGTGTGAGGAATAGGGCGGAGTAGAGCTCTTCTGTCGCGTCCGCTTGTGTTCTCTGTCTCGATCCCGACGGTCGCCCCTGTCATCGTAACGTCGGTCGCGATAATCATGATAATCGCGGTCCCGCCTGTCATCCCGATCATCACCTCCCCCTCCCCCTCCTCCCGAGCTTCGATGCTCGCGATGACTCCTACTGCTCCGTTCAGGGGTTCTCCGCTTTTCATCTGACGAACCACGTCTCTCGCGTTTGTCTGGAGTCGATCGATGACGGCGGATTTCATCGCGAGAGGACAGCTCGGACGCGTCCTCTAGCTTGGGGTCTACCATAGCCGAAGCCCCCTGTTCCACTCTTTACAAAAATTTCTGGACCTTCCCCGCGGCCAAGGGCTCAGGATTGCTCCCCGCTCACCCGCCCACCAATAGCAGGCGGGCAACTATGTGGCCCTTCTGCGGCACGTGGTCCTCTACCAAGATTGCCCACTGCCTTCCCGCCTCCTTCCCTCCTCTTCACCCAGAGGGGATAAATCCTCTCCCTGCAGTTCTTAATCCCCTCCCTTCCCTTTCTACCGAGACCGCCACTGCGCCCTCGCCGTCCACCCGCCAACGCCCAACGGACAGCACGCGCAACGGATCGCCTCGGCTGGCAAGCTACAAAAAACAAGAGATAGGGAGAGAGAGAGAGACAGGAAGAGAGACAGAGAGGCAGGGGGCGAGAGAGAGAGAGAGAGAGAGAGAGAGAGAGAGAGAGAGAGAGAGAGAGCGAGAGAGAGAGAGAGAGAGGACGAATACAAGAGGGCAGAGAAAGCGCGGGAGGGGGAGAGAGGAAGGGAAAGGAAGAGAGACAACGGGAGAGCGCTGCAAGATTCACGAGATTGGGCCCATTACAGACATAGCCGAATATTGTTCGTCCACCCGTCTACTTTCAACACGATGAACAGGCAACCGCCGCCATGTCGTAGAGAGCTGCACGAGCTAGCTCCAGGCAAGAGGCGAACCTGTCGGAACAATGCACGGTCAGGAACTGCTGGCACGTGCACGGTCAGGAACTGCTGGCACGAACGACTGGCATTGCCACGGGGTGGTGGATCTTTCTTCCGACGCGAGTTCGAATACGAATTTCCAGTCCAGAGATTCCTCGTCTTCGTTGCGCATCCTCATCGCCACAGGCTGTCCGCGTGCGTCCGTACCGTTAGTCGGTCGGAAAGTCCTCTACCGGAGGTGTCCTCTTCCCTTGCATCGCGCACTGCGCGTTGTGCGTTGCGCGTTGCGCGTCTTCAGCGCCTGCATGCATGCATGGCACTTCACCAAGACCCATCACTGTCTTCGCCTCCCTTCTTTGTGGATTCGCCCACCCGAAACCACCAGTGCACCTGAAGGGGGGGGGGGGAATCCTTCCGAAGCGGCCTGCCTCAGTTGGTAAGGAAGGCGAGTCGCATCGCCGAGGTCGCAGGTTCAATGCCCAAATACCGCCTGGGCACCCGTGGTACCAACCAACTGAGATACTCATATGGATCCTCCTGGCCGGTATTGGTGGGGTCTTTCGCCAACACGGGTGTGAGTGCGAGTGTGAGTGGATTGCGTGTGTTGTGTGGGATGTGTGTGGGCCTTAGACACTGCTGATGTTCGATGGGGGTGGGGGAAGATGGAATGGGAGGTGCAGCTACTGGCAACATGTTCGGTCTTTGTGTTAGCCGGACCCCCACCTGCGACCCCAACCCTGCACCCCAAAACCACCAGGGCGAGGGGCAAACACACATCCCCTTTCACTGTGAGAGGCAAAAAGCTATGCTTGCAGGAGTCCCCTGTATAGCTTTAGTAGTGGTAGGTAGGTAGTAGTGAAAGGTGAAGTTGAAAGACTCTGAGATGAGAGAAGATTATGGTCAGAAAGAAGGCATTCGTCAAAATAGAAGTGGGGGAAGGAGAGAGAGAGGCAGGTTCCCCATAATACTATAATGACAATAAAAGAAAAGGCCTGAAAGGCCATCCTGTCCAGATTTGACAGGTAATTGAATTGGTTGGGCTTAAAGAATTAGCCTTTAATAATAAATCACAGCCCCTCGTTTGTTGTCCTCTTCTCTCTCTCTGCCTACGGTTTACCGGGCAGTTCTGTTTGTGACGATATATATATATATATATACAAATAATAAAAATTATTAAAAATAGTCTAACCACCAAGGGACTTAGCTCGGTTCGCAGCTGCACCTATACCAGTTACTTTTTATGATTTTGTGGAGCTTTCCATTTTGGGTAGTCTCGTGCAGTCCAGTAAAGTTGAGATGGGTACTTGGCGGAGTTTCGGGCATATATCCAGCTTCGCGCCTACATACTATTGTGTGAGTACCCTATGATGATGAAGTGCCAAACGACTCCATCAATATGAGCTCTAAGGAGTCATCAGCCTATTATCCCTGGCTTATCTTTGATCCGTTGAGCGAGAACCCTTGCACACGGGGCCCCCAGATCACTATGGGCAACTTCCGTCTCTATTCAACTTGTGGGTCTCACAATCAAACAGCCTTTTACAATTGCATTCTATGGCTGCACAAAGCGCTAACTGGAGCCTGTTCTCACGCACCTCCGTTACTATTTAGGCAATTATGTTAATCTAATGCCACTTGGAAATGAAAATTGATTAGTCAAGTACCTATACTTTGATAAATAAAACTCGAGTCTGAAAGCACAAAATGTTGATTAGATCTCAGGCGAAATGCTTGAGCTTACAATCGCTTGGAAGTTGAAATTGTATCATCATCCCATCCTATGTATATGGGATGTCTAGCGTGCAATCATTAAGGTTTTACAATCTTAAACGTCCTTCGTTGTTCATTGTCCGCACCAGAACCAAAACACTATTGAGTTGGTGCACAATAGAACCTTTGAGAGATTGTACTAAAAAACGAGTTCGCAAAATAAGTGTTTCTTGTGGTTTTTTCGACGGTGCAACTCTATTCACGAGCCCATAGAATTTAGACGGAAAGCTTCTGCTCTTCGAGCCTTTGACAAGGTGGAAAACTTCATGTGCTAAGAAATGAAATTATGCTTCGGAAGTGACTATGCAAGTTTGATCAGGCACAAAGTGATAGGAACCCTTGAGGGCCCTAGACAACACTTTGAGCCTTGTGAAGAATAACGAAATCATTGACGTACCTTACTAGGGTAACTCGGTCTCGGTCACCTGTTGTTGAGCTCACTCATTCGTACTACGTTGCAATTTTCCACAACGAGACAAACATGACTTATTTCACACGTGGAGCATACATGGACACATGGAATGACGAACTCATTCTGGGGATCAGAGCTTGTCATGAAAGGAGATCACTGAATTTAACCATTCCTTTTAAGATCTTCGACCGTGTTTCCGAGATGCAGTTGAACAAGGAGTTTGAAAATGCGAGGTATAGTTGGGATACCAGACCGGACGTGGCAGGGAACAAAGCAACGTCGTTTTTGTATTTGCATTGATTACTGACGTACTTACCACCACATGTAGAGAACCTAAGTTCAATAAAGACTTGACAGTTGGACGATAACGCAAATTGCACTTCAGGTGTTGTTGCCACTTTGTGGCCTCGTCCTGCTCTTTAAGCCTCCGTATGTGCGCTCTTATTCAACATAATACATAATAAATCATTGTCTCGTTCCTGACCGGAAGCATTTAATTCATAATCCTACCGCACCTCACGTTCATAAACCAGTTTAACTTTGTCTCGTAGATATATTTGGAGGTTGACCAAGCGTTCGTTCTTCTCAGTGATCTTCTTTAACGACAGGCAATGACCCTCATCTTGAGTTCGTAATTTTTTTGATCTCCAACCATGCGGTTAGATAAATAAAATAAGTTGTGTGATGAAATAAGCGTTTTTTTCATTGCTCGAGTATCTAGCTGCGGTCCGGACACGAGGTACACCGGTTCCTGCAGTCATTCATAGGCAAGCAATTAAGTTCATATAAAAGTCATTTGTGAAAGAGGAAAACATTTCCCTCTTCAAAGTAGCTTGGAAGAGTTCCCTATGAAAGCGAGGTAGCTTGACAATGCTTGATCCTCGGAGACAGGATGATGCAATGCTAGTTAAACGATTTATAAAAGTGAGTTTTACCTTGTCTCCCGCATACTTAGCATAGCACAACGTTCTTAAATCTCGCAAGCATCCAGACTCATGTAAAAATATTATGGTTGGAATCCAAGATCGCCCGAAAGTGCAAACATTAATGAGTGGAAAAGCAACGACGAAACCGTCATGAAGCGAATGACCTCGACGACTTTACTCAGAAAGTCATCCACAAAGAGAAACAAGTGAAAGTTGAAGAACGACTTTCATGAAGCAGAAGGTAAGTATGAATCCATCGATGATCGGGTGTGACTTACCCATCGGCGGTGCCTTTCTGGGTTTCCTCCCTCATTGAATCGCCCTAAAAAAAACATCGGGCGTAGACCAAGAACCAACACTCATCATTCTCGTCCAACCTCACAGTTGAAATCTCATTTCGGGATGAGAGCATTTGGTGGAACCGGTGAATCATTAAAGTCAAATGGGACAGAGGACTCGTCCTGCTGAAGCGACCGATCTCGTTAAGGCGAAGAGGCACAGTCAACAACATATAAATGCATAGAAGGTCACGTCAAGAATCGAATAATAGGTTTTCTGTATAGCCTATTAGTCGTAGGTTTGGCCTAAATAAGTATTCGCAGATATCACAATCTCATCAAATTAAATTAGCAAAGCAAGATATCATCAGCAGTCGGACAGTGTCCGACACGTAGAACTACCGGGCAGATACCCTTATGAGGGTTTCTGCCCCGACAATGTGATTGTCTTATTTTTTAGAGCATGTTAATGAATACTTGAAATTTCAACGTTTTTTTTAATATTATTTATAAGAAAACCCAAAGTTTTTTTCAACCAAACTTGACAGTAGTCCATAGAGTACATACCACATTAACAAACAACGAAAGAAAACAAAAATAATAATAAATATGAGAAGCTTTACAATTTTCAAAAAATTTAGAAATGATCACCAAAAACGATTTCAATTGGTAAAAAAACTCTATAACTTTAGGAAATTGTTACCACAAACAATTTCAACGGTTAAACAAAAAAAAATAGAAACTATAAAAATAGGGTAAACAAAACAGGGTTTCAATGTTATTCTTAGTTAATATGGTCAACCACTTGTTTCATTTTTTTTTATGTATTTTCTACTACATTAATTTTAATAAAGGACGAATCAATCTTAGGGACTGCTAATTCATCTTGTTGAAGTACGTGTTTTTTACCAGTGCATTATCATCCTCAAAATTTTATTTCGTTGTCTAGCAGGGTACTTAGCAATTTTCAAATCGACGCTAACATGTTGTAGCAACTACCGAACCAAATACCCAGGGGTGTGGCGGACCCACCAGGTGTGGTGCTCCGCCTATGACAGAGATGGAGATGGAGGATGAAGGGGGAGCGAGATGGCACAGCGCAACTCTCACGGGAGACTTCAACGCACGTACTCCAAGATGTGCGAATGTAGAATGAATCGGAAAACAAACAACAGTTGGGGTATACCCCAACAGACTGACGAGACTGGACTGGATTGACTGGTATCGACAGAGGTATCGACCTGGACTGGACTACCCCGAATACAACACAGGCCTGTGAGAACAGGCCAAGGGGCTGGTATCACAGGCCAACAAGAGGTCCGCTACACGATCCTCAACCTGTGATGGATCGCGTAGATACAAGCACGCTTCCGCCAAGAAGCGGAACTCTACCAAAGAAAAAGAAAACCTGAGTAGTTTAGGATGCGGAGCAAGCTCCATGCTGAGTCCATGCGACGCAACCTAGGATAGAAAATGTTACAAAAACAGCAATGTCACAGCTAATAACCTAAGTGAAAGCAGAAGCAACTAACTAGCATACATATTATAGGAAAGCAGAAAGTAATGACAACTAAACCCTAAAATGTTGGAGGCGGTAGCCTCAGTCTAGAAACAACTCACTAATGTATAAGTCATAAGAACAGCAAAAGCAGAAACAACTAAATCATATAAATGTCAGAGGTAGTAACCTCAGTATGAGAGCAACAAAGCAACAAAAAGACAACCATATGTCACATGAGGAGTGTGTCGCGAACCAAAGGTTGGGATGGTCTCTGAGGATGGCGAATGCAACCTAGGGGTCGATAACTCATAAGG